ATCTGATCTTAAAAACTTCATTGTATAAATGGAATACATGAAAGTACTGCATTTAACACTCATTTCAGGCCAACTAGACATATCCAACCTATATTATAGGGGGGTTTTATATTTTGGCATTACCTCAAGATCACCTTCAGCTGTGGAGGTGCAAAGTTTGTTCCTTGGAATACTCTCGCATACCCATTCCCACAGAACCTTTTTTTTCCTGGGTTTTTTTTTTTTTCTTTTGATATTTGTCTAAAATACTCAAGCTATATAAAGCATGCTACAAAAAAAGTTCTGAAAGTCTATTAATACATTCCGGTTAGCATTCTCTGCATATATTTCACACTGATCTTTAGAATTGAAACAGTGTTTTTAGTCTGTGCTTCTACAACACACAGTTTAGTGGAATAGCAAAGATGAGTTCCTAAATACTCCTCAAAGCTCCCAGAGCCCTCATCCAGCAGGGTCTCTGTCTTACTGATACCATCTGATGCTCTGAAAAATGTTTTCCTGATTTCTAGCAATCATATTTACAGATGGATGCCACTTTGTAGTAATTGCCATGGGTAACTCCTCTTCAGTACTCCTTCGAGGAGTCCTGGATGGTGGTTGCTTTCCCTTGGTCCACACTTCCATCATTTGTGTGGCTTGCAGACCACGGGAGCCCCACTAGAGCCCATTTAACATCCAGTAAACAGCCCTGGCCATTGCTGCTCAAACCCCTTCCCTTGACTCAGCTACACAGGTACAGCTTTTTCAAGGAGTGCATGTGATGATCTGGATAAGGGGTTAAAGATTGTGCTTAAGGTTGGGATGAAAATGTTTACAGTTTTTTTAATTAAATAGGGCATGATTATCAAAGTTATTTTAAAATTGCAGTCATCTGTCTCAGCTCTTGCACGTGGGTCATTTTACGGCTTCAGGGACATCTGTTTGTATAACTGAGAGGGTGGTGCAGAGGCAGAATCTGCTGTTGATAGAAATGGTTGTGAAATTATGAGTTTAGTGTTTTTACTGAGAGAGATGTGTTGACTTCTCTGGAGAGATTATGCCCTTGTTGATGGCCTGCTTGCCAACTGGCTGCTCCCTTTGTCTGGGCTTCCAATATTCAGGTAAAGAGTGGTACAAAACCCTGGTTTGCTGTGTGCAGCACATGATCTCTGTTCTCTGCAGGTAAATCATTCTGACATTATGTAGCATTAGCAAGCTGCTTAGCCCAAACAGCTTCTTTTATCTATTTCAGAAGCTTCCAGTGGCCTTTAAGGATTTCATCACAAATAACTTCTGGCAAATCTACAAGAATACCAAGAAAAAAGGAGAGTGAACGTCTTGATTACTGTACTTAAAATCAAAGAAACACCTCGATGGGCAGTATGAAACATCCCTTAGCTCGTTCATCAACCACCAAACCAGTGATTATCGATGACTCTTCAGAGGACACATTCCCTAGACATTACATGATCACTTCACTGCCTTGCATTACTCTGAGGTTCTCCCCCCATATCAGCTCATCAGCTGTGAAACCATTAGCCAACCAAGCCTTCTAAATTGTATCACAGAAACGTTTTTCCTCAGCTAGGAACAAGTATATCTCTCAGAAGAATTCCCAAGATGATTTGATCCTACTCCTTTCACATAATTGAAACTGCTTTTTTTCTGAGAGGACTCAATACCAACTTCTTTCTCGTGGCCCAGCCTTCCTCTCCAACTGTTGATGTGAAATTCTCCTTATTTACCTGGCACTTTTATCGGGATTGGTAATGCGTCACTATACTTACTTGCTCCCAACATCTTTTTCCCTGTAATTAACAGCAGGAGTCTTTCCACAAAAGAAGATCTCTGTGATATTATAGCTGCATATCCGACCCTGTACTCCACTACTTTTCTGTCTTCTCTCCCACATGCAACTCCTTTCAGAGATGACAATCTCAAAAGCATATCCTCTGTCAAGAAAAGTTATACAGTTATTCCCTTTCCTCAGTGCAGAACAACACGAGTTGGCTCAATTGAGAAACCCTGCCTGAGCATCACAAGCTTTTGACTTGAATGCAACTACAGATTTCTTTCTGCAATCAGTATCTGCTTAGGATCAATTTTCACAAGCTGGAATGAAATTTGAGGCTCTGAAACAGCACCCTCATGAGAAGCAATTTTAATGGCACTTGGGCAGAAATACTTATTCTTGATTTCATCTTACTTGAAGTATTTCACAAGCAATACTTTATTAAAAATGATTAGTTAAAATGTCACTAAAACAATTCCAAAGATTCTGATCCTTTACTAATAATCTTCACCCTCCCCACAGCTCTGCAGTCTCTCTCATGAAACTCCTACTGTCTTGTTAACTCATTATTCCCTTCTAAAATGTTTTCATTATAGCCCACTTCACACCTCCTCTATCATACTGTCAAATGCTACTGTGACCTATGGTACATATTACAGTTCTAGCTATAGCTATAGAATCAAACCTGCAAAGCCTACACTCTGATCTGCCTGTGACATCTAGGTCACCTTTGGCTGGTCCCCTATATCTTTATGCTTCAGCCTCCCCAGCCATAAAACTCCTTTGTTCTTTGAGATTTATGGCTGAAAACAACAGAATAGAGCTATATAGTAATTCTGCTTACAAAGTTTTCAAGTGTGCTGTAACCTCTTTGAATGACTGAATCGATGCAAAGATTAATTATATATGGTAGACCTAGAAATAAAGTATCTGTAAAGGGCCCTGCTGGACAGTGCCTTTCAATCAATGATCCAACATTTCTGCTTCTTCCACCCACTTGGACTTCCTTGATGAAGAGGAATAGGTCAAAGGCACCCATGCATCTTCAACCTGAAATGAAGTGCTGTCTTTTTGCTCTTTTCTATGGAGATCTAAATGATGCTGAATGCATTTAAATTTCCTGTGGCAGGTAATCCTTCCTTGCAGAAAAAGAAACTTAGCTCAAGTCTTTCCCCCTCCAATTTCTTTGCAAATACCCTTGACTGCATTCCATTGGATGCCAGGAGTGGAAACCAAAAAGAACTGAAGCTCTGCCTGAGAACATTTGCCACCCACATACTGCAACAGTGTTCAGGAGCTAAATCTTATTTATGAGGCTTAGTTTCATTTCCAGTCCTTTGTGCCAAAAATCCCAATGCAATATAATTTGTGCACACACTGGCCACACATTTTTTGGCATTATTTGTTACACACTAGCCCTCTCTCAATCTGTCTGTAGACATACTGTAGCCCCACAAATGAGTGGAGCGTGGATATGACAAACGACATCAAGAGAAGCATGTAGAGACACATTCAACAGGCAATAAAAAATATCAGAGAACTCATAAGAGACACGGAGAAAGGTATTAACTGTATTGCAACGTTTGAGCATGAATCCAGTATTGGAAGCAGACAGCTTGCTTTGAACGTTTCATCAGGCATCTTTCTCTGTAGTAAGCCAAACTAAAGGTAGCCAGTACCCTTTGGATGAATTCGGGACTAAACACAGACACATCTTGCTGCTCAGATATCTTTGGAATTGAAGGCAAACAAATTCTGAATTTTGTCACGATATATTTAGGCACAGGTTTTAAAAGAAACCTGACTCACTACCTTCATTCATGTTGAATAATATCAAATTTAAAATGTCACTCTCCACCCTCATTCACTACCCTCACTCACCTGAAGGAATTGAGGCTGATATTACAGGAACTAATTTTCCAAGTGAGAATGTGTCCATATGTCACTTTGACGTGGGAACATGTCTGACATGGGACCAATGCCAAAATCAAAGGAGAGCCGTATGGACTTCGATTTTATTCTTTGGGAAAGACTAGTGTACCCCTTTTGCATCTCTAATTGTCAAAAAAGGGACACAAAGACAAAGAAGACAGTCTCAATTCTGGATGCCTGCCAGGATAACGTAACTCTATCCTGTCCTCTGCTCCAAGTAGACTAAGAACGTTCATCATTTTTGTCATTAGCTCTGGCACTCCTCGAGGCTCCGAGTGTCAAACTGTAATACAGCAAGCCTCAAACCGTGTCAAGAGTAATACTGTAACTAGCATAGGGTCACAAAAAAAGCCCATCTAGTTTGGTTATAAATACCATGCTTATAAAGCAGCGTTTCAAAAACGCTGCCGAATCTCACGGCTACCACGTTTAGGAGCTTTGTGCTGCTTGTAAGTAGCTTCCTCGTTTGAATCTTTGCTACAAGAACCGACAACGCCCGTCGGATGGGTGGGATGCCTGTGGTCCACGGCCAGGTTTGGACACTCAGCTGAGGGAGCAGATCCTGGGGCCGAGTCCGGAATTGGAGGGCGCCGCTGCGGAGGACGCAGCCACTAAGTTTAAACTCCCTTTGTCCGCGTCTCCCCAGTCCCGTCCCGCTTCCTTCCTATAAAATCGCAGTGAAAGCGTGTCCAGTCGGTTCCTGGATGCCATTCCCGGATCCGTGCCCCCCGCCCCGGTCCGAGGCGGCGGCGGGAGAGAGCTGCCCGCCCCTTTTCCTCGCCCCTGCCCCGAGGAGGGGGAGCGGCGGCCACCACGGCAGCCCCGGCGGGTGAGACGGCGGCGCTGGACTGGGAGGATCCGGCTCTCCCCTCGGACATGGGCGGCCCCGGCGCGGTGGCGGCGCGGGAGAGGAGGTCCCTGAGGGGAGAGGGTCTCCGGCTGAGGGGACAGCGGCGACCGCTGCCGGCCCGCGCCCCAGGAGAAGGAGCGTGGCTGCCCCGGACCAGCTCCGCCGGGGCGCTGCCGGCCGGGCCGGGCCGGGCCGGGCCGGGCCAGGCTGGGGGCGGAGGAGGCGGAGAAGGGGGGAGCCGCTGCCGTCACCGAGGCTCCCAGCTCGCTCGGCTCGTCGCCGCGGCAGCCCCAGCCCCGCTCCCACCCCCTTGCCAGCCTCCACCCTCTTTCTCTCGCTCGCTCGGGGAGAGCACTGTGCCTCCTTTCCCAGATGGCAGCCGGCAGCGCCATGCAGCCTCCTGTTCCTCCTCCTCCTCTCCCTCCTCTTCGGCTCTAAGTTAATGCCATGCTGCCGCTGCTCCTCCCGGCACTGCTGGCCGCCTGCCTGCCGTTCTGCCAGGGCTGGAGCCCCTCGGCGGCTGCCAGCGGGCAGGAGGAACAGGAGCAGGAGCTCTTCTTGCCCCCTGCAAACTCCTCTTCCCGCTCCTTGGCCAGCCTCGAGATGGACCTCGACGGGGCAGCGAGCAAGGAGGAAGGCAGCACCGACATCCCAGGCACGCCGGCTGCCCCCAGCCAAGAGCCTTTCCCTTCCGCTGCCACCACCTCCGGGCAGGAACAGCCGGAGCAGGAGCAGCAGCAGCGTCCCCAGCCGCAGGGGCAGCCGCAGCCCGCCGAAGACCCGCACTGCAACATCAGCGTGCAGCGGCAGATGCTGAGCTCGCTGCTGGTACGCTGGAGCCGCCCGCTGGGCATCCAGTGCGACCTCCTGCTCTTCTCCACCAACAGCCACGGGCGGGCCTTCTTCTCCGCCGCCTTCCACCGCGTGGGGCCGCCGCTCCTCATCGAGCACCTGGGGCTGGCGGCCGGCGGCGCCCAGCAGGACTTGCGCCTCTGCGTAGGCTGCAGCTGGGTACGGAGCAGGCGGGTCGGGCGGCTGCGGGGCGCCGCGCCCCAGCCCCCCGCTGCCGCCGCCGCCGCCGCCTCCTCCTCCTCGCTTTCCTACCCGCCGGCGGCCGAGCCCGGCCAGTACTGGCTGCAAGGGGAGCCGCTGAATTTCTGCTGCCTGGATTTCAGCCTGGAGGAGCTGAAGGGTGAGCCGGGCTGGCGGATGAACCGCAAGCCCATCGAGTCCACGCTGGTGGCGTGTTTCATGACTCTGGTCATCATCGTGTGGAGCGTGGCCGCCCTCATCTGGCCCGTGCCCATCATCGCCGGATTCCTGCCCAACGGCATGGAGCAGCGCCGCGGCACCACCGCCGGCACCGCCACCGCCGCCGCCTCCAAGTAGCCTCTCCCGGTGACCCCCCTTCTCTTCGTCTTGTGCTGTGGAGGGACGCGGGACGGACTCTGTCGTGTTTTTCTTGTTTGCAGCGTGCAACAGGTGCGCGGCGGGACGTGGGGCCGCCTCAGCGCCCGGCCCGGCCCGGCCTGGCCCCGAGGGGACCAAATCATATGTGCGCGTTTTATATCTTTAATACCCGTTTTAAACGAACCTTTTAGTAAAAAAGAAACAAAAAAAACCAACCCCAACCACCAACCAACCGCCCTCCCCCCAAAGAAAAAAAAAAACCTAAACCCAACTAAACAAGAAAAAGGCCATCTAAAAATTCAACGAAGGAAATCAAAGACCCTCCTATTCGGCTGCATTTGTTGTCAGAGTAGCGTTTTTGTATAGGATGTGGTTTGAACGGGTTTTTCCTTTATGGACGGAAAGGGGTGTCTCTCTTTGACAGAATGGAGAACCGATGCAGTATATATATTGTTATTGCTGAAGCTGAACTTTAATGAACCTTTCACACTGTATTTCCTGGTTGAGATAGTGGGTATTTATTATTGTAGCTCCGCGTTATTTGGCTTTTAATACAGAGGTTTTCTTTCTGGAACCACTATAGCCTTTTGTTGGTCTGTTTCCTCCAGGGTGGAACAGAGGGTTTGGCTGGCCTTCCTGTCTGTGAACCTGCCACAAAGCTCCTTTCCCTGTGAAATGGTGCTACCAGGGCTATTGATGGCAAAAGGAGAATCCCAAATCCTTCCTCACTGGTGTTTGCCCTATCTGTGCAGCAGATGTGGGTCTGTATGCCTACACCAGGTTTGGCTGGAGAGGGGTGGGGAGCACAGCTGTGCCCGAGATCCTCCAAAGCAATTTCATCTGCACACCTCCACAGACTACAGCTTTCTCCTCGGTTTCAGGTTGGGTGGCTTCAGTCCTGGGAAGACGAGGCCCACTCTGAGTTGTGCTAAACAGCTTGGGGCAAGTCTCTTGACTTTCTCAAAATTCATTCCTCGAAAACCGGCTTAGATGCAGTGTATTTGTTGGAGACACAGTAATACTGTACGTCTTTTTCATCTACCAGTCTGCAGGGTTGCTCACAGCGAGTTTGTGGAGTGAGAAGGCAGGAGCTGCCAGTCCAGAACTAGATTCCAGCTCCTGCTGTGCAAGCATGCAAAGGAGAAAGATCTCTTCTCTCTTGTTTGAGCAGAGAGTTGTGTAGCGTGAAATATAATTTGTTATATACTTCCAACTGTTTAGCCTTATAAAAAGTTGTTTCATTTGCCTTAGACATGATTAGTCCAGCTGAAGTTTCTAAAACCAAAATATGGGCTAAGTGACAAATATTTGCAGTATGAATTCTCATTTTTTTGTCAACATTGATGTATTTAATTTGCTAGGAACGCATGAATTTGCTTGGGGCTAATTTGGTGTATTCATAATGTATGGTGGAAATGACTGGATAAAAAGTCTGGAAGGATTAAATTCTTAGGATTCCTATATTTTTTAATTGACTACAAAATAAAATAAGTGCATGCTCTATATGTATACTGTCTGGACAAAAAGAGAGAAAAATATTGACAAACAGTAGAAATAATTCAAGATTTAAAAATGCTCCATGTTACCAGGTTGCCTCTACACCCACTTTTCCCCTGTTAATCCTATTGTTGGAGTTATCACTGGAGTAAACATTGCAGTTGCATGGTTTTCAGAAAGCAGAGGATCCGGTCACTGTGGGAACTGTTCTCTTGACCTGTTGATCCAAAGGGCACCTGCCCCCTGTATGCCTAGTTTAGAGAGCTCCTATTTTCTTCCCTTGATATGTAAAACAGTGTCATTTCCACCTTGTGCAAACTCTTGCCATTCATTGGACGTGCCAGAGAGCAATTCTTTGCCTATCATGTCCTGTGTGTCAGAGACACCTCTTCATACTGAAAGGCAGGACTATCAAGAAAACACCCTCTCAAAGGAGAAGTGTTCTACATATTGAAAGACCTCAGAAATGTTGCCATGCTAGGGAATAATTTAATCTTTTGAATGAGATGCATTTAGGCAGAGAGTTGACAATTTTTACTGGTAGTTTTTCTGGCTTTATTAATTCATGATGTATAGTCCTCACTGTGGTGCAGGCAGCCTCAAGGGTGGAATCTCTTTTTTGCTTATCCTTTTTTCACCAGTGATGTGATATTGTTGATCTTCTTTCTGAATTGCATCAACATAAACAAAGGAATGGTGTTACTATCTGAAACAGGCAGCTTCAGTTATTAAAGGTTTATTATTTTGCAGTTCTTGCAGACATGTAGCAGGTGGTACACCAAAACTGGTACAAAATGGCTTGTTTTTCTAACTTCTATCACTATCAGCTTGAATACAAACTTTGTGAATAGACAGTGCTACACTCAGAATATTTTGCTGCTTCACTTAAAAAACGTTATACAAGAGAGAGATTTTCTCATAGTTATTCTATAAATACACTTATAACTGGAGCTATTATTTAAAAACTCTGCTAAGACACGAATGTTTAGAACACAGGAATGGCATTAAACAAACTCCAAAGGCAAATCTTGTCCAGAATAAAAGAAGACTGCAATGTTTTCAGGGAGTACTGATCTCAGACACAATGTGCAAAGAGCCCCTGTGGATTAGGAAAGGTGTTTCCTTAGATCACAGTAACCGTGCCCATAAGCATATTGCCTTCGCCGAGAGAAACCAGTCCGCGTTCCTGTGCCTTAAAAAGGAGTTTAAGGCACAGCAGGGGGCACAGGGATTGCCTGCTGTACAGGCTTTAGGCTAGATCTAACTCCCTGAACCCTCGGGTTTCAGTGAGGTGGCAGCAGGGCTTCTCCTGTAAAGAACAGACAGTGGAAATGCACTATGCAAACTGTGAGCTTTCTTCAATCACTGTTACACCTAACATCGATAACTCTGCTCCTGTAGCTATGGCTGCTACTATGACTGGAAGAATGGAGTAACTTTTGCCTTCATCCATGGGAATTTCATGTGAATGCAACCTGGAAGAGGCAAGCCCAGGGCAATGTGAAATTTAACATCTGCATGCCAGCTAGTTTAAGGTTACAAGTTTAGACTTAGAAATGTCTATTTCTTTTCTTCACTGGGAGTGGAGCTTTATTGTCGCTTAGCTGGAGTTGATTCTAAGCCATTTTTATTGATTTGGGTTTATTTTTAAGACTAGCTGATAGCAGGGTCAGCACGAGAGCAGATTAGTCACCCGGTGTAATCCTTTATGTACTCAGGGAGGGCATATATTTGCATATATCTATCTACATATGAGGACTCATTGTGTAGAACAGAAAGTTAAAGCAGAAGTGAGAAAAGGGATGATGAGAAACAATACGGAGGAAGTTACTGATTTTCCTTCACTATTTGTTGGATCATGTTTCCTGACTTTATTTACATGAGTGTTTGATGGAAAGCAAGGGATATCTAGGAACAGAGGGAGTTTCTTGACTTACTTTTAAAAATGTGATTCAACTCTATTACAGATTTTTGTTTTCATTCCAGGAACCAAGAACAATCTTGACATTCAGCATTAGAAGGTACTATGCTTCTGTGCTAGTGTTAGACTGGTACAATTGTTTTCTGTATATTTAGACCTCAGAATTTGATCTCTTGCCCATTTTCTTAATTATGTTTCACAGATGTGTTAGAAGCAGAAGTATACAGAGGAATATGTAGTTTTAGCATGGACACAATTTTGCTGTTACCTAGTGCCACATTGATTCCAATAACAAAACTACAAAAACGTAGTACAGTGTAATAATAGTTATATATTATGTAAGCACACTGTTGCTCAATAGGTTTTCAGTAAGCATTTCTGTATGTCGGGAGGCATTTGGATATTTGTGGCAGAATTGCCATACTAGGTTAAATGTAAGAGTTGTTACTTATCCAGGGCTTAGTTCACCAGTGCTTTTGATGATTAATGCAACAGCAGGACTATTCGTACAGTGAACGTTACTCAATATGAGTAAAGGCTACTGAACCAGACCCTATAAAACCTAGTTAAAAGCTGTAGTTGGCTGAATAACATCAGATGTCGTCATCATGACATCCGCTTGCTGAATAAAAGTATCTCCAGGGCTGACATTATGTGGTCCTAGAGGCTGAACAGAAGCCTAGTGAAATCAAATAGTTAATTGAAGTTTTGTAGGACTGGAGAGCAAAGGATTTATTTTGAAGATATATATATATATATATTTTTTTATATATATATATAGATGTAAGGGTAGGCATGATGCTTTTGTTCCTCTTTGGTTTTTATACATGTAGTTTATAAATCCAAAGCCAAGATTTGTCAGTCCAATGTGGGGCCTTGCCAGTTAGGAAGTTAGCTTCTTTCTGAAGCTAGTATGAAAATGTCAGTTATTTCTCAAGGAATTTTACAGAAGAAATGTAATTTTTTTTTTTCGATCTATTTCAGGGAGAGGCTTTGACTTTGCAAAAAAGCATTTGTAATGATTCTGGATAAACATGTGAATATCAAATCCCAAACGTATTCAGATTTCAAAGCAAAAAAAATCTTTTTAATCAGTCACTGATTTTTAAAAGCATATTTTTAAACAAAAAAATCAGTTTCTGTTTTTCCCCTCAGAAGGTGAACATTTCAGTGAAGATCAGAAGTGCATTTGAATGTTTCACATTGTTATTTTGTATGTGATTTTTTGTGGAAAAAAATTCTCATCCGTGATTTGGAACTGATAACCGCTTTTAACAGATAAGTTACTGTATTTCTTGTCCCATCTTCATAATAATTCTGGTTAAATAAGTTGTCCAAAGTAAATGTAAATAATAATAATAATAATAATAATAATAATAATAATAATAATAATAATAATAATAATAATAATAATATTAAATCATAATAATGATAGTAATAACAATAATAATATTATTTTTAAAGTAGCTTAGCCCATTTGTTGTGTTTCTGTTGTACTGTGCTGAGGAAGAAAGCAGTCTGGCATAAAATTTGGGATAGTAAAGATGTTTATTGGAAATATCTGGATGGTGTTCAATTAGATCTGTGGACAGGCTTCAGTCTCACAATCACATTTCTAACTTTTTATAAAGTTTGGGTTCATAACTCAGTATAGCAGTTTAGCATTTATCAGTCAGAGTCCCTGGATCTGCATGTTGGGAAAAGCAGGATCTAACACATTCTCTCTTATTTTCACTTTCGTGCAGGTTTGTGTCAGAACAAAACAGAGCAAAACTGGAAGATGCAAATGTCCTATGAAACACTCTTTGTTTCTGCATGTTTGACTTGTTCTTATCTGTCATTGAAAATTAATGAGACATAAATAAGAGATCAGTGTCGTTCTGAGGAAGTGAATTCACTGGAAGTGTGAAGTAAAATTATATTTGTGTTCCTTGTAAGGTGAGACTTGTTAGAAACAGCAGGATTGTACCTTGTTGGTGTCATTCTGAGTGTTGCTAAGCAACATGAAGTGATTTAAATGGAGATACAGAAGAAGATCATGGAGGAATAAAAAAAACGAGACATAGAAGAAGCATAAAGGGGAGTAAGTGTGCCAGCACATCCTGCAAAGAAGTTACCATGTATCAGCTGGGAAAAAGACAGTGTTTAAGATCATACAGAAAAAAGAAAACTGACACAAGGTGAATTAGGAACTTGATTACGTACTTCATATTCACTCTTTCCATATTCAAACTTTCCAGTTCTTTGCTTGAACAACTGATAGCAATTTTGGCCCCAAATGGCACAACTAGTGGCAAAAGAGAATAAAAGCCGGGAAAGAAGGCTTAAGAAAAATTAGAAAATGACACCGCCATGCCATTACTAAAAAGAGAGTTCACTCTCTGTGTTGCTGGCAGCTAAACAACAAAATAACAGGACACTTTCATGCATATGTTTTCTGTTCTACCCCAAGGAAGTGGTCGTGGCACCAGGCCTGCCAGAGTTCAAGAAGGGTTTGGGCAATACTCTCAGAGACATGGTGTGCTTTTGGGGTTGTCCTGTGCAGGGCCAGGAGCTGGACTCGGTAGTCTTCCTGGGTCCCTTCTGCCTCAGGATGTTCTGTGATTCTGTAGTTCTGATTGTACTCTTATTTTGCTTCATATGTTCTCTGAGGTTGTAAGGAAAACATGCTAAAGTACAATTTTTATGGAATAGGTATGGTTTTTCCATCACATCTTGCACTGTTCCATGCCAAAATCATGCTTCTCATTGTCCAATGCAAGAATGTTCATCATAATTGTATTAAAGCTTTCCACCTGAACTGAAGCAATGCTGGTGTGACTGCATGTCCTAGGCTGCGTCAGGTCACTGCTGCAGACAAGACTACGTGCTGGAATGCTGTGGATGGCATTCTGATTTATTTTGCCAATACTTTCTTACTCAAACATTTTAATGACTACCTACAGAATCTTCCCCTTTTTTGTGCCTATCTTCATTGTTTCCAAAGTTTCACTCCATTTCTCTTCTGTCACTGAAAATTAATCATTCTTAAGATTTATTCTTTTTCACTTGCTATGTCCCTCTTCCTTTCTCTCTTTCCATAGCATGTATTTATCTTGACATTTTTTGCCTTCAGATTTCCCACCTGTCTTTCCCACAAGTATGCCTTTTGTGATCAAGCCCTAAAAAAGTACTTCAGGAAACCGTGCTGCCAGTTTCTTCTGCTTTTCCACTCTGCTTCCCACCCATTCAGACTGTGCTTCTCATGCCTTTGGGCTGTGACACTTCTAGGGCAAAGATGAACAAGAAATCTTGTGTTGAGGGTAAAACCCAAGTGCAAAGTTGTCTCTCCCACCAGTCTTGTCATCACAGGACTTCTTTCACACATCTGCCCCAGACGCTGAGCAATTTTTTGTTTTTTGACACAGATGATTATTTTGTCTTCTGCTAAGTGAAAAGTAGACCCATTTGAAGAGTTCCTTTCTCCTTAATTTCTCAAAATCCTGTCTCTGAATCACCCTCTACTCCTGCACCTGCCCCAAACCCTATCTCATGCATCATGGAAGCCCTCATGTGTCAGTTTTCCCGCATATCCTCAGTTGAAATGTTAGGACACGTCTCATCCTGCTTTCTGCTCTAACCAAAAGTAGGTGTCTCACAGCCAGAGCAGAAACGAACTCACTTAGGAGTGGACCAGAATTGAAAGTTACACTTGGCTCAGGTATGCACCCATACGGCCAAAAACCATTACTTTTCTATTAAATCTTGGATTCTGCAGAGAGTGGACACTGTTGCCCTGGATTATGGGCCATGGGAAAGTTTTATGAACAACAGATCTGGCAGATATTTCAAGTGTTGGTCTGGTAGCCTTCTGGCTTTACTAGTAAATGGCTGAGTGACTAGGCTAACTCACCACAGCCTTTCTTTTATTAGATGATAAATGTGAGCCCCAGCTGAGACGGGGGCTTGTGAGGTTCAGGCCTTATGAAAACTTGTCTGTGTCCCTTTAGCTGTGGACAAAATAATATTTATACTTTTCATACTGGTAGTGAAAGGATTAATGAGGTAAATCCCATATGGCATTTTGAGCATGTCAGCACAATAAAAATGCAAAGCATGAACATGATTTTATTCCTTCTGTGTTCATTTTTGAACTGCAGGCATGTATAGAGCCTTGTGTTGTTAAATTAAGGTATTCTGCACAATTTTGACCACAATTTATCCAGGCAATAGCTGTACTCTGGAAACATTTTTTCCTATTGATAGGTGTTGCTGTGAGCAGACATATTAAAACAAATCATTACTAAGTGATGAACGTTACTGGAAGAGATTCAAATTAATCTAAAACAATATGAAAGAATCCCCCAAAGTGTAAGAAATATTTTTTAGGAGGTGAATATATGAAAGATTTGGTGTGGAGGTAGCTGGTGGAGATTTAATCATGGGGCTATTTCTTTTCTTGCACTTTGTGTTTCATCGCATTTTCTCTGGAGAATATGAGCAGTGCCTAATTATGCCAGAAATGTAGTTGCTCCTAAATGGCAACTGGAAAGTACTTTCTTCAGGCAATACTTTCTATGAATTCTTTAAATGTTTTTCATTTCCTCCAGGATATGTAAAGCACTTAATGATGCAGGGTCGCATCGTTTAGTTAACACGGAGAAACCCACTTTTGGGCCATGATGTTTATATGCAACATCTCATCCAGTCCCTAAGATGAACATTTCCTATGGCACCTGAATTACTGCTATCTTTTTGTAGAATTGCTTAGAGGCTGAGAACATGAAGACTGATGTCTTATCCCTCTGTACTCCACCCCAGCCACACATGACCTTTCCTTCTTTCCTGGAAACACAGTTTTAGCGGATATTACTGTGAATAAATTTACAGCAAGCCCATGCAAGCAGCAGTTTCTCACAAAAACTAAGATAGCAGTCCTGGTAGCTCTTCATGGAGAGGACCACCTCCAGCAGACCTCTCATTCCTCTTGCTCAGTTGGTTGCATTCCATGCCTGTGTAGTGCTCCACAGCTCTATGGCTGTGGAGCATCCTTATAGGCCTATGTGGGGCAGCTAAGAAAAACCATATCCACCATTTTGCAAATGAAATAAGGCTTGGCCTGAAAGTTGTTTTGAGCAGAAAAGATCTTTAGCTGAGCTGTCCAGGAGTGTCTGTGCATAACATGAGCCATGTACGGAAGTCTTTATCCTATACTCAGAGTTTTGCAGGCTTTTTTGGCTTGTTTTATTTTTATTTTCAGAGTTTGGCTTTTCATGTTTTTCAGAATTGAATGGAGTGTTTTGTTTTGTTTTGTTTTAGAATTTGTAGATACTACCTGGGAATACTTTTTTTCCCCATATATAAAATGTAATTTCCTAGGCTTTGCTCTAGCTATCCTAATGTTAGAGTGGATTGCCTATGACAAAACCCATCCTCCAAAATGTCACTTACTTATCTCCATTTCTGAAACAGAGACTCATCTCTGCTCCCTGTGAGATCCCCGTTGTAACACTTAAAGGCATCAGCCCATGCTGGGTTAAGCAGAAGACAACTCTTATTTTCTTCCTACAGGTAGAATTTTTCATGCCTGTGACAATTCTGAGTTCCCTGAATGCAGCCAGTGAGATTGATAATGGTGATGCCCAATGCTAACTGAAGTGCCGTGGGTGGAATGGGTCAGAGAGATTTATTCTCCTCCCACACACGAAGTGCAGAAGGAAAACAACATTGGCTAATCTGTTTTCCTACATGTGCAGTGCACAGTGAAGCAGAAATCAGAGACTTTACCCGTGTAAGAAAAACAAACCCCCTGAAGCACAGACGCTGAATGATCCAGTTATTCAAGAACAAAACAGGAGCCTTTTTCTGTGCATGTAACTCCTGCCGATTGCCATGAGAACAGCCCCCCTTAACTGCATAATCAGAAAGTCTTTTAACATAGTGACAGGAATAAGTTCACTTTTCAAACATTTTCCAATTAATTTAATCAAATTGCCTGTGATTAATCTGATAACTGCACTATCTTAATATCTTTGTGTCAATCAAGTGGTCTCTATTGCTGTGTTTCTTTTGTTAAATATAAAAT